TTATAACAATTATTTTGAACAAGAGAAAACACCACATTGGATGAGTTAACTTACGCTCTTCTACTTCTTGTTTCAAATACTCCACAGCACGTGCAAACGCAGACCGCAGCTCTTCCAGCTCTTTACTTGAGTCTTTAGGAGAAAAAAAAAAGAATTGCCTTTAATAATTTAATTTTCATCTCACATCCACTAAAACCTCTTCCCTAACACCCATAATGATTTTATTGGGGGGAGCCAGAGTTTATTACCTCAGTAAATTACTTCAGTAAAACTCACTACATGCATAATAAAAAACCCATCAAAATAAAAGGCAGGGAATTCTTGCAAAGCACAGTCCAGTCTATTCTGTCAGCAAGGAGCTGCTCTAAATTGTATCTTTTATAGACATTAACTGGCCAGAAAGTAATTTTTGTGAAACATATGAAACTACTGTTAAATTTTTAAAAAAGTAATGCCGCTGTTTCAGAGAGGTACACAGAAAAGAGTTCATAAATATTTATTCAGACATATATCATCTATACCTTGTGTAAAATCCACTCTTCTTCTCAGGTAATCCAGATATGCCTGCCAGATTTCTACATAGTCCGTTGCCTGAATAAAACCTGCATTCAGAGCTTTTTCAAACATTTCTGAAAGAAAACGGGGAAAAAACCCACACAAACGAACTTACTTTTCAGACACTGACAAATCTTGCGAGCTACAGCGTACAGCCCAGAGAAGCACACACACCTTACGTTTCTAGGAGAGGAAAATACAAGAAGTCCTACATACAGTAAATTGCGTGAACGTTACTGAATTAAACTGGCTTTTGAATTCTCTTCCTAAACCGAAGCTGTTCATTGCTTGCTCAGAATTGAAGCTGCTCAACAAAAGCAGCTTTGCCCTCGAAGCACGCTCCTGCACATCTCGTCAGCTCTAGGACTGCTGCAGCAGGATGAAAACAAATCCTCCCCCATCCTGCAAGTCACCGTTTGCCAGACATTATTCAGAGTGCAGAAAGCAGTTCCAGACTGTAAAGAAGTTTTGCCGAGATGGTCTTTCTTTACCAGAAATCATGCCGTGATCAACTCTGTGCCTCTCCATCGCCAAAAGGTATCTAATCCACAGCCCAACCGTCCAGGGGCAGTTCCTAACAGCACGGTCATGAGCTGACAAGACCAATTCTTTCACTCTCAGCTGCCGGTCCTGAAAGAATCACACAACCAAGTTTTACATTCCTGTTAGCCAGAGACACCACCCGAGACAAATGCCAGCTTAAAAAGAGCCAACACCTTCAAACCAGTACTTTCATTTTATATTTGAAAAGTTAAGACAAGATGGGCATTTTAAATTCTATACTCCTAAAAACCCCATGAACACCTCAACACAAAAAGGATAAGCTCAGGGGTAACACAGACAAGAATTCCATAGGACAAGGGGCAACAGGTGCAAGCTGGAGCACAGGAGGTTCCACGTGAACATAAGGAAAAACTTTTTCCCTGTGAGGGTGGCAGAGCCCTGGCACAGGCTGCCCAGAGAGGTGGTGGAGACATTCAAAACCTGCCTGGACGCATTCCTGGGTCACCTACTCTAGGTGGTCCTGCTCTGGTAGGGGGTTGGACTGGATCATCTTTCGAGGTCCCTTCCAACCCCTCACACTCTGTGATACTCAGTCCACAACACCTCACTGTCTGCTTCTAACCCGACCAGTCAGGTACTGACTGCCAGTGGGAGAAACCCAATGAAGGCGCCGAGCAAATTCCCAACGGTTCTTGGTGTGTTAAGAGGGGAGGAAAGGAGACAGGAAAGGGGGTGCACACACAACCTGCCCGGGCAGGCACTGCTCCACCCCAAACCTGCTGTCTCAAGCGGGTAAGATAAAGAGAGAACAGAGCAGCTCAGCCTAGATAAGCCTCCTGCAGCGAGTTAGGCTGATCTCCTCACAGACCAACCTTCTGCCCACGTGAAAACCCCTCTTCTCACGTTCAGCCTGATTTTCAAAGCACACTAACTAGCCCACATGTAAACATAGACTCAACATCTGGGTTTGCTTTAGCTTGTTGGTAAGTTAGTTCTTTGCTCTCCACTAAAATACTCAGGAGAGCACTGGCAGCCCTCAAACATGCCCTTTTATTACTTTATCTGTGCCTGCTAAGGGACAGGCAGGATCCTCAGTGATTCAAACAGCACTGAACCACTTTGCCTCCAACAGCAAGAAGGGATGTGCTCAGAACCAAAGCCTCCGAGGACGAGCTACCAGAGACAACGCCAGGGCTTACCATACAGCTGGTTACACCTAGTCAACTCTGCCAGACAGCATAAGCCTCGATGCCCACACCCAGTTTAATACAGCCAGAGGAAAAAGTGAAGAAATGCTCACTTGATCAGTCAACACACCACTGAAAACAGGAAGAAACCAAAGGCCAAGAGACAATCTGTTTCTGAAGAATTTAAAGACTAAGGGACAGGACTGAAGTAGAACTTCCTGGTCGTTTGTTTATCAGCCACTAAGATTAAAAAAGCACAGGAAAATACAACTGCAAACATCTGGGTTTTTTTTTCCTTACCAAATACTGATTGTAGCGCGCCCAAAGATCTGGCACAAGGCAGTTCTCAGCCAAAGCCCTCTCGTAGATCAACTGAATGCGAGCTGGATCGCCTGCTTTCATTTCAAAATCAATGTAAGCTTGATATTCCGCTAGCTTTGGTGTTTCAGCACCCAGCTATAAAACAAAGAGGGATACAAGAAATTAAACCCTTCTAAACAAAGCACGACTCGAACAGTTCAACTGTTACTCGGAGCAGGTCTCAGGCAAAACTTCACACAAGAGCTTGGCCTCTAAATATCAACAGCTTTTGGTTTTCACGCATCTCCAAATACCACCTGGGTTCTGAAGCCATTCAGATCCCTGCTTTTCATTCCCCTCTGCCCAGCACGCTCAGCAATGCTGGAAGAAACACCCAGAGTACTCATGTGCACCTTAGGGTGGCCTGAGACAGTGAACAGATTCAATAGTTTCCAGTATACCCAGTTGTGAGGCTTCTTGTGTCACATTGCTCACAGCTAAAAGAGTCACCGAGCAATACTCAGCTGCTTTATCTCCATGACTAGAAAAATAATAAAACTGGGGGGGTGGGGTGGGAAATCAACCCAAAGCAATTGTTAGTTTTAAAGCAAGGTATAAGTAACAGCATTACCAGTGCCTCTTCGTATGGTTTACACTTCTCCAATTGCTGTAGAGCTTTTTTGTAATTCTTTATTATTGGTTCTGGTATCGGATCTTCCGACCATTCCTCATATTCAGCATATGAAGCCTCCATATCTATGGACACAGACATGAAACCCCATCAATAACTCACTGGATTAAATGAACAGAACTTAACCTGTATTTGAGTAACACATTGGTATTTCTGCCTACACTTTTGTCTCTTAACTGTCTCACTACCACATGCTTAAAGGGTCCGGACACTTCATCTTATACAGCTCACTACGACACAAACTCAGGGCAAGTTATATTAAAGCTACTGATTCTGATTTAGAAAACCAAAGCTGCAAGATTTTCCCAAGGCTTTAAAGAAGAGAGTCCAAGCCTAAGTTATTTCAATATGCAAATGAAGAAGCCAAAGAACTGTGCTTAACTGTCCCCTAGAAGCAGAGAAGCAAGAAAAGGGACTCAAGGAGCTTAAAGTAAGGACTAGATACGGTGGGATCCTAACGGCCCAGCTGTCAGTGTGTGTGACTCCCTGCCAACCGAGGTTCTCTTGCAGCGATCATCACAGCCGAATTCCCCGTTCCCAATGGGCATATTTTGTGCTCATCACTGGTACTTTAAACAGCCTCAGGTTACATACTGAAGGAACAGCTAAACCAAGCGAGACCATTTCAGAACAAAAGGGATCTGCACATCATTCAAGAGGCCCTAAAGACCAGCAAGCATCACTGATTAAAGACTACCCAAGTACTACAGCTGCAGCTTGTGGGGCTCTACCAAAAGAATAACCATGACTAACGCCTGGATCCCTGGAACACCGCTCATCCACGCCATCGCTCCCAGCACACCAGCCCTTACCCAACAGCGGGATCCCCAGCTGGCGCCTGAACAGCGTGTGGATCTTCTCAAGCTGGCTGCAGAGCATCTGCTGCTGCTCCGGCGAGGGAACGCTGCCAGGAGCTGGCTACAAACAAAAGGATGGAAATCGAATCAGCTCCCTCAAGCCTGAGCTGATGAACATGATGGGGTGTTGTTTATGAGCTGGGGGCTCCAAGGGATCCTTGAAGGACAGACCCAGGCAACTTGCGTTTCAGGGCACCGCTGTGACAGCTAAAACTCGGGAACTGCTGGGCTCAGAAGCTGGATGAACACGAAAAGCGTTCCTCACTGAAAGCTGACACACACATGGGGAAATGATAACCTGAGAAAAGTAAGCAGCACGTGATCCTGCCACTTCACAAACCCACTGGGCTGCCGAATTGCTTTTGGGTAAACCCCTGGGGCGTGCGCAGAGGATTTAAAACTTCCACCTTCCTTTCTGTTTGGGAACCAAAGGGCGGGTGTTCTCCTGTTACTCCTTTTGTCAGAGCATTTCATAGAAGGGGGTTGGAAGGGACCTTTAAAGATCATTTCGTTCCACCCCCACCCCTTCCTTGGGCAGGGACATCTTTTAGCTTCCATATCTTATGTTGTAAACTACAAAAAATAAAAAGAAACAGTCACATTCCGGCCATCTTGTAAAGGCACCTTTTGCATATGTCAAACTGCATCTTCCCAGGACAACCTACTATCATCCAAAAGTTACAGAAAGCGTGAAATACTGAGTTAAAAGCCTCAGGAGAAAACGGTCTAGAGATGTAAACATGAGTGACTGCACATAAAAATATTTACTGGCAAGAACACTGTTTAACAATGAAGCTGTTCAATTTAAAGCTGTTCTTGTCAGTTCCAGCTAAAGCAGCAGAGTGAAACTTTGCTTCTGGATAGGAGATTTCACGGTCTTATTTAAACACAAATCCATTACTGTATCAACCAAGTACACAGAACCTTTTTTCCCAGACCAAAGGGTCAGTTTCTACAGCTGAAAAGAAACAACTGTGTGACATCATAGCCTCCTTTCTCAGCAGAGACTGATAAGGAGGGCAGCACCAGATGATAAACTACAGAAAACTACACCACAACTTCCTTCTCACAAGAGCCCAGGAGAGGCCTCACCTGTGCCGTTTCCAGGATGGCGTTCTCAAACTCACGGTACGCCTCCCACAGGGCTGTTCCCTTCGTCACGTGCAGCCCGACCGCCGTCAGGGCTCTCTCAAAGATGGAGCGAACCTTCTCAATCCCTCCTTCCTGGCCAATGCCACCGATCGAATACTGGGCGTATTCCAACCAAATTTCAGGACCTAAACCAAGTTAGGAGAAACAGATGACCTAATCCCCTAAGGAATTAAAAAAGGGAGCTCCCTGCTTCCCCAACACCCCATATGCCCCCTATAAACCCTATAAACAGACCAACACACGACAATTTTCTTCACCATTCAATGGTGAAAAGTTAAAACATTTTCTTCTACGCTCTTGGTTCAGCACCAGTGGTTACACTTTTCTTCTGGAAGAAGTCATTCTTGTGGTGGCTGTTAGTGACACCCTTTGACTCCTGCATGCCCCCTCGAGTACACAAGCTACATCAGAGATGCACCAAGACCCCCCCCGAGAGCAGCTTCCCTTTCCTTGAGCTCATGGGCAGCACCGGGACCACACAGCTGCCGCTCTCCTACGTCACTCAGGTTAAAGCAGGTCCTTCTCTTTCCAGACTCCTGCCCTCGCCTGTTCAGCAGCTCTCAAGCAGCCTAACTACGAAGGTGAAGAGGTGACAGAACAGTGTCAGCGCCTGGCACCTCTCCCACCAATACCAGTCTCTGAGCAAACTAGGTCCAGGGAACCCCAGCAGAGAACCCAACCCCCAGACGTCAGACTGCACATCTCAGGCTGCAGAAGTCCTTCCAAGGCCCAAGCGCAACCCATCCAGCAGATCCCACTCTCTCAGCTCTTCAGCTCTCCGTTCCTTCTCCCCGAGCGATCACCAGTTACACCAGCGCTGCAACGTGACGGCTGCTTCCGCATGGGATTTGCCTCGATGTTCCCAAGCCCTCTCTGCTCCTTCAGGCAGCTTTTTTCAGCCCCTCCCCACAACACCCCACGAGCACATGATTACTCAGGGCTTTAATCTTTCAAGCCACGGCTGCAGGCAGCTCCTGACAGGAGAGAGGAGACACCACGTACTCCTGTCGCTTTTCAGGGGGACGGTCAGAGCCTGGTAGGGCAGCAGGGCCAGGGCAAGCTGCTTCGCAGGGTTCCCAGGATGCTGTCTGCCAGACGAGCTGCTCCCAGAGCTGTCCCACAGTGGGACTGGCAGCAAAGACAGCGCTACCCAACACAGCAGCGAGGAGAAATGAGCCTTTTAAAACAGTTCACCTCCCTCAAAGATGGTGCTAAAGAACCTGTAATAGGTAATGGAGAAAGCATTCCCTAAGGGAGCACAAGACCTGCTGCTTTTAGAAGTGCAAAACCGGCATTTAAAGCTTTTCACAACTCGCTTACAAGACCTTAAGGACTGCAGTGGTGCTTAAAGCACTGCCTTTGAACAGCCTTAACTCAGAAAAGCTGAGGATCACTTCACACTAATATCAGAGATCCAATTTCTGCAACTGTAACAGAAGAAAGAAACTTTCCTAGGAAAAGAAAGCCATTAAGCTGAATGCAACACAACACACTTCATGGCACACAACAACTTACAGATGTAGTCTTTCACAGCTCTCTCAAACAGCTCATAAACTTCCTCTCGCTCAGAGCTTTCAGAAGCCATTTTAATCTCATCCTTCAACCAGTCCAGCCAAATTTCTGAAAGGAAGAAGTTTAGAACACATCACCAATGTTCAGAAACAGTAAGTTAAATCCACTTCTGAATTTTTTGGGAGAGTTTTTAGTAACAGTCTTAAAAACAAGGAGAGGGCCAAGGGGGAGAAGAGAGCAATTTTAGCCTCCACAAGTAGTGACAATTAATTTAATTGGTAGAGACATTTTCAAATTGGTACTAAACAAGTGCACTTCTACTCAAAGAGAGCAGCAGTTGCAAGCAGCAATCTAGCAGTACCTTGGGCAGAGCCTCTTTTCCTCACACTTTTACAAGAAACAGTAAATGGCTTTAGAGACTGCAAGTCTCCATGAGCACAGAAGGCAACCTCCCCTTGCTGTGGCTAAAAGCACACAGGCAGAGCAGCCTCTGCCATCCTGCCTTTATGAATAAAAAAGAAACACCCACTTCACGGGCTCCTAACAATTTCCACCAATATCCTATTATTTTTTTTTGGCTGCTTGACTGTGAAATTTAACTTCTGGCAGGAGTTTGTCTGGGCTCTGAGTCACAGTCACTGAGTGACTGGAGCCGTTTCAGTGCTGCCAGCCCACAGCTGCACGTCACCAGCCCCACAGCAAAGGCAGCACAAGCAAACGGGCACCTGTCCCTGCGCTACAGCAGGTCGCATCCCAGCAGCGACCCACCCAGCTGACAGACTAGCCAGGGACTGGGGAAGGTGGGGGCACGCACAAACCCCCTCCCACCAGTCCCACCCTCTGGCAGAGGACAGGGCAGGACAGCACAGTCACAAGAACTCGAATTCCCGCAGCAGGCTCGCTGCCCTGCCTCTGCCAGAGGCCCAGCTCACTGCTGGCTATGAACACCAGCAGCATTCAGAGTTTAAAAAGTCCCTAATCTGTTGTTCGAGGTTTCTCCAGACTGGTACAACGTTGTCAAAGCCTGGCACAAACACATTCATTCACTACTGAAACAACAGCATTTTGCATGGATGATGCTTAAGCTGCAGCAGAAGATGCTCTGTACCTTCGGTAAGTGGGAAGAGTTCACTCATCTTCTGACGAGCTCTTCTGAGCTTGACCAGCTCTCCCTCCTGGCGCAGCAGCTTTATCAGATCCAAGTGACAGTTATAGTCAAAAGCATTGATGGAAAGCTTAAAAAAAGGAATAAAATATTTTTTTTTAAAAGCACTGTTGAGCGATGGACATGAAGAAATCAGAAAACATTTAGCAGAACAGAACCTCATACTCTCCTCTGGGGCACACAAATCTCATCACGTGCTCACACAACCAAGACAACACCCTCCTTCCTGCGCAGAGCTGCACCAAACTTCACTATTGCTTGCAAGACCCTTTCAGGTGCCAAGCAGACACTTATACAAAGCACTTCCAAGTTTCACAGAGCTCTGAAGTTAAGCTTAGAGCTTAGCTTACGGCTCTAAGAACGTGGAACACGCCATGAGGGTGACCAGGACCCCAGAAGGTGGGGTCACTGCACCCATCAGCAGTGCAAATGCCAGCAGCAGGAGTACAGCAGCTCCCAGCTGCAGAAACAGACCCAGAAGTGCAAAATGAAGAAAGCCTTTTCCAACAGGGCCAAACGTGCTTTAATTTTTTCAAAGGCAATAAAAGAACTCAGGCAGCTAGACAAAGTTTTTTTCAACGAGTACAAACTGTCCACTAAGACTCTCTTCTCCAATGTCCCCCTCAAAAAAAACAACCACCCTGAAACACATCGCTTCCACTTCAGACTCCAAACATTCAGCCTTAAACTACACGAGCAGCCATAGATGATATTTTTTTCTTTGCCATTACCGCCGCAGCGACGCCAGCAGACGGTCACAAAAAGCAAAGACCCCCACGAAGGCCGGGTCTCGCCCCACTCCGAGGTCTCCCGGAGGGGAGGCCTCAGTTCTCCGGGACGAGCCTTCCCCAGAGCCCCGGGGTCGCGCCTGGGACCG